GCTGTGGTATCAGCCAATCGAGCTATTAGCTGACCGCGACGCGACCGCCCAAGTTAGTGAAAGGCTCAATTCGCAAAGCCTGACATGGGCCCAAACGCGTCGACCACGAAGAATGAGCGTAAAGGAACAGAAAGGCAGTACGCGGTTGTCGCCTGTGTTTGATGTCAGGAAATGGCAAAATATAAGACTAATCTATAATGAAATCTGGACCTCGTAAGCCGAATTTATGGCTCGATCAGCGCACGTTTCCTTACAAAAAACTGCTCTCGCAACAATCTGTGCATGGCAGCCCCACTGTTGAATATGTGTTATGGATAGCTTAGGAGGGGACTTCACATTGGAAATGTACATTCTCTAAGTAAGAACTAGTGGATGAGCTCCAGGGTCAGCTCTACGTCAGGAAAATCTCAGGGGCCCTGGCAGGAGATATCGGAAGGTCTGAATGCTTTTCATGATTCGAAAGAACTCTTTACTAGGACAATTGTTAACAACCTCCCATTGAGGATTGAACTCGCGCCGGCGACAAATCCGAGTATGGATGGTGTACAGATCACTGCATGCAAACATCATTGCTTCCACACTTCCACCCACATCACTAGTGACCGTAATTTCCATTTCTGAGCTTTCAAGCTTGTGTTTCTTTTTGAACTTGTCTCAGCGCGATTTTAGTAATAAATAAATAAATAAATAAATAAATAAATAAATAAATAAATAAATAAATAAATAAATAAATAAATAAATAAATAAATAAATAAATAAATAAATAAATAAATAAATAAATAAATAAATGAAATAAGGGGACGCATGTCGTATAGTATGCTGTGAGCCCGTTGAATAGATTACAAGAAGGAATACTTTAGATTCAAAATGGGTCAATATGATCTCACTACTTATCTGGTCCCAAGGATACGGTAGTGTAGCTTTGAAAAATACTGGTATTTCCGTGGTTTTATGTATAGAAAAGCATCAGAACTACAGAATTCCTGTTCAAGCATTTTTCACCACCACCTTTTTGAACCCTTAAAAAGCAAGCTATCGCTTGTGCCCTGGTCGCGTGTCCTTCAAAATATGGTGCAACCGTTCCGCTAGACAAATTACTTTGTGGAGAAATAAAAACTCGGCAACGGAATTTCATCTATTTCGAATTGCGCTTGTTTGGCAGGGATCACGTGCATCTATCGCGAACAAAAAAATTGTACGCAACACTCGCCTTCCAAAGGAGGACACCATGATAAGGTCGGAATCGAAGAGGGGAGAAATACAGCTAATCAAAGGCAGAAGGGCGCGCTACGGTGGGCATTTTGCAGCGAAGCACGCTTGAGCAACCTAGCAGGGCCATATACTCGCCGCTTGCGCCTCTTTACGCCCGCGGACAGGTAAGCACTCGCCGTCTGACTCTAGCTGCTGCTAGATGCGCTTAACCAAGAACGCCCTTAAGTGAGCTTTTAGGAGCTCAGGAACTTAAGTGGTTATTTCATTAATTTTGAGAACTGCGCGATATTCGGTTTCCACAAGAAGAGGACGTCGTCCCTCATCACATTGTGCCCAGGAAAGGATATGGAAATGGTGCAAAAATTGGATATAACTGCGCGCACACGCTGCCCTCATAAGTTCGGCTCTCTCTGTAGACGCGACATGGATGCGGGTCATAAGCAGGGTGAATAACAGTCAAGGAATCCTTCGACCGTGGTTCTGTACTGCGCGAGAGTAGTGTCGAAAGTGAATGTATGCGCGGAGAGTACAGACTGCTCTCCGGGTGGGAAGTGACAATCGGCCATGGGAGATCGTATCGTTTTATATCACAGCTTGATTTTCCACCTGGTCATAAGATTCTGTATCGTTTTCTCAAGCGATTTTCACCCTGGTCATAAGATCCTGTCGACCTTCCGACCATGTGTTGAGAAAGTTGAAAGACCATGTGTTGTGAAGTTGCGGAAACGGCAGTAACTCTGTATTCTGAGGTCTAACTACCTCACTTTCGACAAGGATTGCTCCAATGTAACTAGTGCGGGGCAACCGATCTTAGGCAACCGATCTTTCGCGATTCCAGCCGAGAGCTGCACCAAATGGTTTTAATAAAATCGAATACTTATCGGATTTCCCATTGCCACAGCAAACACATTTCATATTTTCCAAAAGGAGTACAAATCAAATAGAAAATGTCGTTAATAAAAAAAAGAGGAAAAAGTGTGCCTGAAATAGAAAAGCAAATAGAGATCGGTGGCTTGACAGGAGAGTGAGATGGATGTGGACGCATTCAAAAAATATAGGGATTTTTGGAATTGTTTTAGAGAACAGGCGGCACTACGAAGTGAACCTTACGACACACCTAATCCCTTCGACAGAAATTTTCATCCTTATTTGGACATGGTTTTCTTGTTCGCAGGAAGCATTTCGGAACTGACTTGAACTATACCCAGGTTTTGCGGGCACAAAACTCAAACCTTGTTTTTCAAGAAACAAGCGGGTCCACCGAAGTAAACAATGTCCACAAAAGTAAACAGCAATATTTCTTGAAGTACTGTGTATTATTGTGTCATTATGAGGAAAACGTATATGTATGCAAACATTAGAAAAAAAAAGGACCAAGTTCTCAAGTAACGATATTTCCAGGAGTAATTACCTGTATATCAGGATCGTCCGTCGGCACAATCCTCTCTTCGGAAGATTCTGCAGAGGTTGACGGCCTTGGTGATGACGGTGTTGCTGAAACTCCATAGTTCCATTTCAGCACATAAAATTTCCCGATTTAGAACTTCGGCATTGGGCCCCACACATTTTCGTTGCCTACAGTCTCACCACCGTTAGCGACAAGAGTCGGGCTAGTTGAGGTGTTATTTTGTTTTAAAATTTGACAAAAAGTGCGATGAGGAACTGTAGTGGGAAGAAAAAGCAAAAAGCACCATAGAAAACACTGAAATTGTGAGGTCGGCCGTGGTATGACGGAGAGACACAGCGCTGCGAGGAGAGGGAAAACGCGAGAGAGCACGTCGTACGCGAGAGGGAGCAGACGTCACGTATGCTGCTAGTGGTAAGATTGGCAGCGGCGGTTGTAGCAGTCACGCAAAGGCATTGGTTAGTTTGTGGCGCACTTTCAAGTCGCAACACTACCAGTAGAGATCTGCTACCTTATTTGAGGGAAGAATTTCTTGAAAGATCTAATGGCAACCTGTGCCTTTAAGAGCATGCTTTACGGTAGATGCTCCCGCAATTCTTTTGATACGTTGATGAAATCTAGCCGCTAGAACCATCACACGCATATTTTACGCTGTACGCATGAGCGTGGATTGCAGCTATCCCATTGGTCGGTTCTTCAACTTGGTACTGTAAGACACGACGAATAGGAGGAGGCTACCAATGAGAAGATCGCGATCCCTGCCCATACATACTCTTGACGTACAATGTGCTTTTTGAGTGGCTCTCAGCAGCTTGTTCTGGCCGGCCAATTGCCGCAAGTCCCTATTTGTTGGACACAATAAAATGCACCTTGACAATATTTCAAAAATCACAGCAAACTGTCTAAAATATTACTTACATGTAAGCGAGGCATTGGCATCAAAAGCAGTAGTTCCGTTTGTTGAATAGTTCGCAGTACTAGTGACCGGAGCGACGAAATCGGCCAGAAGCGATGCCGCCACGCGCGCCTCCAACGTCAATTGGCCGACCAACGATGACGGGACTGAAATTACTCGATAGATTTCCATTGGAAATTTTGTTAAAATCAGCTTGTCAGTCACTTTTTTCATGTGATTATCTAAAAAAGCCTTGTTGACGTCTGTAGAACAACCCTAATTATGACTTGGGGGTATGTCACCTGTATCACCTCGTCCCGTTGATCGTCGATTTGCTCGAGCGGGCGCCAGCAACGTCTCCATTCGTCCCTGTCGCGTGCTAGGGTGGTCCAGTGGATCCTCCTTGCTCGAGGGACACGGAGTCCATCATTCCTTTCGTTCAGAGCTTTCGTGAAGAAGTCTGACCATCGGGCCGGCGGTCGTCCAGGTGTTCGTTTGACGTCCCGAGGGATCCAGTCGGTAACCGCTCTGGTCCAACGGTCATCGCAAAATCGCATGACGTGTCCGGCCCACCTTATCTTCGATTCCTTGGCGAAAACGTGTCTTTGATAATAGCGGTTGGCTCAAGGACTTAAGGGTCACATTGTTTTCCAAAAACATCCTCATGTGGGCTTCTCACCCCTTACTGTAAACCAAAGCCCAGTGTTATAGGCAGGATTAACTTTAGCGTCTCCCCGGTTTCAGACTTACGAACCTCGCCCCCGCCCCTTAAAAACACACTGGATGCGTGATCAAACAAAAGCATTTGCGTTAGTCAGTCCTTTGGGATGCAGCCACCACGATCCACTTCCACCTAAAGGAGGCATCTGACTGTCATGACCGATGATTTAGTCATTATAATTTCTTGAGGGGGTCAGCCAATGTACAAATCAGGTTTTATCCTTCCAGGCAAGTCTTAGACCAATTAATGAACTCCGAAGATTGACGGCTTGGCTGGCCGGAACGATGTGTGCCCAGGATTTGATCCTTAGACCGTGTGCATGGTAAGCAGCTCCACTTGCCACTACATCACTTCCTGAGCTTAATAAAATAAAATAGCCTTTTCCAGCTATAGTACCACTAAGCGAGGCGTTGAATAGAGGATGTCGCGCATATTCATAAAGCAAATTTTGAGTAGCTAATTCGACACATCAATCTGTTTCTTATAAAATTGGCTGTATCGGTGCCAATTTCCTTGTTTTTTTTTTTTTTAGCAAATTCTACCCCCAGTTCACCCAGTGAACCGGACAAAGCGTGGTGGCTAGGGTCGGGGACTTGATGTTGAGCTGGTTGCCGTCTGAGTGTAGGTGGTACACGACGATTGTGCAGCAGCCGCTTGACGACGTTGGCTTTCCGCTTGTGTCTGCTTACACATCGGCTTATGTCGCTTCCAGTCGAATTGCTGAAAATCTTAGATTCCGTCAATGGCAAACACAAATAAGATTGAGATATTGGAAGTATAAGGGAGCTTTCTTTAGAGCGGATCTCACGATAAACAAGCAGTCATTCAATGACGTCATCAGTACCGTGAGCCCGTCACCATGTGGTCCCCCCTTCGGCCTACTCGGCACCTGAAAACCTCCGCGACCCTATTCTCTCTTTTACGCGATTTGTCTTCATTCCTTTACCGATGTACAACGAATTCCTCAAGTTGTCAGCATGAGAAAGCATCATTGGCACGAAAATGACCACAGATTTTTGGTTCGAACACAACAACAAACTTGGGGGGGGCACCCTATTCAAAGATACTTCAACCCCTTTACCAATGGCCACTTCGACCTACCATCCTTCTTTCGTATGAACCAGGACATTATAAATCAGTTGTGGTCCTCGTGTACGCTTTGAGGTATTCCAACACAAACTTGGAAAGCATAAGGAATGCTGAGGCACGTTCTGGCTCACCTGGTGTTCATCGCTACAGTAAGCCACAGCTCCGCAGAATAGGCACTGTTTCAACGACTTCACATCAGAACAGCCACAGTACCGACACTTTTCCAACATGGGAGGATTCAAGGACGCCTGAATGATCTGGTATTCATTATTTGCGAAACTGTGCGACGGGGAGTCGTACTCCTGTTCAACGGAATTTTGTCCTCAGGCATTGCAGAAAGAAACTATGTTCGCGTTAGGCACTGCATGGGAGAGTAAAGATCGGCGGTGATCTTTTTTCTCAAGGTACGCCACGCACTCTATTTCCATTCAAAACCGTAGAGGCAGTTCAATGCGGTGTGGCCGACACAATGACGCGGAGCAGCCGAATCAGCTTTAATCCTCCCAAACAAATAGCACCAACTGACACACCCTTTGGATGGCCTGAACGAGACTCGATCTTATTTGAGCCTACCCTTTTGAAGTACCCTTTTGAAATTGGAATTGAATTGGAGTTGTTCAGCGCGCCTAACATATTTCCCCATCGAGTTTTTTGGTCAAGTCTAGCCCCTTGTTTCCTCTAATGAAGAAAAATCTGGCCTCTCGGCTCCTCTATCCCCACGTGGGTGATCTCGGTTCGGCATGCTTCGAAGTTCCAGCGACTGCTTATGACCCTTTGCTTGGCGCCAACATTCCACCTAGAGCCGGGTACCCCCCAGGAGGCCCATCGCGCGGCAAGAAGGCCGAGTCGGCGGACGAGTCGCGGCGCGTGATGTGCGATGAAGGACGTGCAATGGGACATTCTATTTAACTTGACGCGATTTCCCTAATACGCGCGCGACTCGTCCGCTGACTCGGCATTCTTGCCGCGCGACGGGCCTCCTGGGGGGTACCCCTTGAAGCCAGGGGTATCCAGTCGTCGCGTTTTAGAACGCCCGCTGTGCTTACATCATTTCAATGTGTATTTAATATTTATTTATTTGCTTGAAACGACGCATCAGACAGTTGTGGGAAACAACGATAAATGAGCAGCAGTTAAACATCTTCCTTAAAGGCAAAGTTCGGCTCAGACCCACCTAATAAGCCCTTAAAGTGGCTAGAAGTGCATGGGACGCAACTGCAGGCGACTCGCCAAGTCCCGCATCGAAATGCGTCACTAAGGCGCTAGGGGCCAAGGACTTTGACACGCTCCACCTGTTGCGACACGCTCCGCCCACCGCTCGATATTTTGTCTGCGTCGCAATGCTGATCTGCTATGCTCTCTCTTCTCGGATTTCTCTACCGCTCTCCGCGCTCACATTATCTCTCATCTCCCTGCCGCCTTTTGAACTTCTCCGCAAACGTAGAGCAAAAGGCTCGGATTTTCTGAGTTATGGGTCCACGAACTTTTTTCCTTTTTCTTCTACTATGCGGGTTCCACCTCCGCCCTCGCTCTATTATCTATGCAGTTAAAGCTTGCATCTTGCCTGGTCTCTCAAAACGTACAACTAGTTACAGTTCAGGAGTTTTTCTTAGTAAAGCGTTCGACGTGCACAAAAAGCATACGATTACTTTCCTCTCACTTTGTTGAGCGAGCCTCAAGTACGGCTGGCACGAAAGTACGTCTCGTGGCGCGTGTTTAAATGGTTATTCACAAAGAAAAAAAAACTGTAGGAACGGCTCGACCATCAAGCGGGGAGCTTGGTTTTTCCCTTTGATTTTTCGCATCGCGTTAAGTCCGCTAACGATGGTGACGTCCATCAACGTGAACGCCATGCCCTGTCTCTCTGCTAAAAGGCTAGACCCCGACGGCGAGAGTTCAATAGTTGTGGTGGGCGGGCAAAAGAATAATGCCTCTAAAGAAATAGGGAGGCTTTGCAAGGGGTTCTTGCAAATGTCCGCAAGAGCGCCATTTTCGCTTTCCAGTGGCACGATATTGCTTTGCAGCAGGAAACACTTGCCTTTCTTCAACACCTAATTTATTTCATGCCACCTGCCTTTATAAGTCTGCGACTTTCCTCAGTTATTATACTACTAATGCTGATGGAGAGAGGGACTCGCTGACACTTCTCATTCTGATCCATTCTTTTTATTTTTGCTTCAATGAAATTACTTCCCGATTACCTTTCTCGGCGGGCTAAATTACTTGAATATGCTATGAATGTTACAGCGAGCCTATTGGGGGGATGGACAAATAAAGAAGTAAATAAATAAACAAAAAAAACAGAAACAGTAATTGAGCAGAATTTTTTGACGTGGTCTAAGACCGTCGGAGGTTATTTTTTAAGAAAAAATTCACCTCACCTCCTCAGGCTCAGAATTCCCGATGGATTCCCGATGGGAGTAGTTGATATTTACAGATGACCGATCGTGCTCCAACTTCACATCTCGCATCTCATCCACGCAATTTCCACAGAAGAGATCTTCACCTCCTCCACCCTGACAACAAAACTAATATTAAGCTACCAACAAAAAACCGCTCACGAAAAACGAAAAATAAACGAAATTCACGAACTGCTGGCCTCTTACATCGGAAAATCGGACGAAAAGATATTGAACACTTTAACGGATACGGTAGAGAATTGCAGTGTATATGTAAATAGTACAGAACAAATAAACCGACATCATATCAATTCCTAACCCTTCGACAAAAAATGAATGAGATGCTGAGTGAAGAACATCTTCCTAGTGCGCTTCTACGTACCAAAGAGAGACTCGTGGAGATGCACCACGCATCTACTTCCATTGAGAATCGTGTCAGCGGTTGAGTGTCTTTTGGTCTTTACAGTAACTTATGAGGACGAACCTACAGGGGGGGGGGGCCAAAAAAAGAGTCACCTTCTCTCCACATTCAAAACACAATTAATCTCGAACTGCGTAACCAAATCAAATGAGCCCAATTGCATATTAAAGAGCACATTTAAGTCTATCAAGAGGTCACATGACAGCCTTCTACACTGACGACATCAGAAGATTTTCCCACGAAAATGTAGTTCACGGTACGAGCTCAACGAGGTCGTCGAGGTACCATAGACCATTACGACGTCCCTGAAACGCCTGGTCAAAAGCGGTCTTGCACGGTCGTCCCTGAAACGCCTGGTCAAAGCCCGGCTTGGTCACAGTCACACGCTAGTCGCTGGCCCCTCCGTCCCCCCACCCCCCTGTCTCTGAGAAGCTATTCACCTTTTAACCGATTGAAGAAATTAGGTTGCAGCTTCAGGCCGGAGCGATTACGGTAAGCCCCGTTGAGCTTGACGGCGACGGCAGATGACGTCATATTCTGAAGACCGTGAGGGCATTGAAGTAGGGGCTGCTTCTGCTTATGGGGGACACCTAAGGAATATTCTGCCGTAAAACATTTATTAGCTACGACACTCTATGCGAAGAAAAATTTGATGATGTGAGCCATGGGCAAAGTGACTTCTTTTTTGCTCCCCCCCCTGTACATTACACACTAAGTTTTACGCCCTCTCCAACAAGCTTCCCTGGTTCTAATTAGCTCGGATCCCCGGAGGTGTGGGTACGACGGTTGTGGTTGGGCCCGGCTGACATAGCGCCCAGAATATGTACCTCTCAGGTGCGCAACCCAGCCTGCCACTTTGCACCCTATGCTCTCGCCTTTTAATATTGCATAAGGGGTCCCACTAATCTCCAGCTTTAGGTCGTCCAACGACAGACACAACAGCATGCGACAACAAGAGCCTAAAAACATCTTCTACTAGAAAGTAATGGAAGTGATGCGGAATTAAAGGGGTCAAGCAATCAAGCGTTCAGGATCGATCATTCGGTTTCCTAGGACGCGCCACGCCTTATTCAGGGTTAGATCGTAGCGTCCTTCGAAATATGGATGTGGCTCTACAATGAATTCCGGCGCGTTCCATTTGAAGAAAGTCATCTGTTTTTATCCTCCTAAACAAATCTGCTACAATGAATCGACCCCGCGCGCATCGCAATGCTTGCGCTACTTAATTTGTAATGCAGCCTGCCGGGCCTTAATATCCCGGGCTCCGCACCCGTGGATATGTGGCGCCATTCCACTGCCATTAACATATTTCCACCTTTTATATAAAGAACATTAATATCAAAAATCAAAGACTCCGAAAAAAATCAGAGAAAATCGAGATCACGACCGAAAAATCAAAGTCAGAGAAATCAAAGACAAAAATCAAAGACATACGGAGACGTGAGAAATAGGAGGAAAGAAGCGCTTTCTAGCCATTTTCCATTCCTTACTGTTGTTCTCATTCCAGTTACTCATGGAGCTGTTTGAGAATAGAGTATAGTTGAAGCACCGCCGCGCACCTTGTGCAATCAATAGCTAAATTCCCGTCCTTTCTGAGATTAACCGTGCACTCGATTTCCACTAGAAATCCAGCAGGTTTTTCATTCCGCATTCAATACCCCGACGACAGCGCATATTGGGTGCTTGTTCTGGCCATGCCCGGGGTTGCAATTTGAAGCGCCCTGCGATTCGAAAAAATATTGAAAAAAGTAGAAATCAAGAACAAAACACCTATGTTGTGATTTTCTGGCATTCCCGCCGTGTCACAGGTAATTTCAACGCTGACAATAGAAATCGAGAAAGGGGAGTTCTGTTGTGGCAAATCGCGCTTCTTGACACGCACAAGGCTCGGGGATCAAATCCTGTGTCGTACTTCGAATCAATCAAATCTTCTATATCACAAAGTAAGTCAATGATACCGGACTTGCCTACGAGGATAAAACACTGATTCTCGAAGGATAACAACACTGATCCACACCTGGCTACCTCCCGCAGTCATGGCGCAGGTCAAATCGCATCAAACTCAACCACTAAGTAGAAGTAGTATGCGTGGCGCGTTCCATGAGAATAGATCAAATCCAAATGCTTCTTTTCCGTTTCAAACTAATAGATATAATATAAGTAAATTAGATGGAAGTTTCCATGCTAAAAAACTGAATGACAGGGGCGTGGTACTGCAGGGCTCCATGCCGTCCCACGCGGGCTGCAAGGTGTGATGCGCTATGGCATCACGGTGTAGAGGTACTGCGCAATAATTCAATAAAAATCGCCTTCTTAACAAAATAAATCGAAAAATACGAGAAAGGAAAAAAATGACGATCTAGACAGAATTCGAACTACTGGCGGTGTAGCTGATAGCAGCGCCTTCAGC